GCACAAAATCCTTTTGTCTAATTGCACAAATGACCACTTAAAGAACATCAATAACAGGTAAGCAACCTGTTGTCTCCCCCCCCTTTCTTTTCCCCTTTATTTCCCCTTAGGAAAATTAAATTACTATTTAAAGCAGGCATTAGTTTCAGCTTCTGGTATTCCCTGAGCTTACTTTACTTCTATCCCTTCTTAAGATATATATATTAGCCAGAAACCTGTGTGTTTGGTCTACTTAATATTGCTTAAAATCTATATATTATAATTTCTGTCAAGATGGTTTTAGCATTTCTGCCTTCAGATTTTCATTTCTTATATGACTGTAATGAAATATACAACATATTTCCAAGATTAGAGATTCTGGAAGTATAACTTCAATTGCATAAGGGAGAAGCATATGACATTCTCAACATCTTTAAGAAATAGAGACATAAAAATTTTGAAAATATTGAAACTGTGGGGGGTAATTGTCCCCTCCGCTTTTTTCCCCAGGGAAAAAGTCTGAAATGGTAGAAAAAATTGAAATATATGCATTGCTGATTTACTTTACTATTTTTAGAGTGTGAAACTCATATGCAGTTATTTGGAATAAATTACATTGAATGGAATAGGACTTCCTTCTGAATATATATGTGTACATTTGTCTTGCTAACATGTACATTGGGAAAGTCATTATTGAACGATTTGAAATTTGCTTTGGCATAAACATGCAGAGAAGCAGACTGCATTTATGATAACAGAAGTGAAAATAAGTTTTATAAAATTCATATGTATTTATATTCCACTTTATATTAGCAATTGATATATCCTTGAAGATAATGCTCCATAGATTCTGATTCTGAACTCTTTCTCTGAGCTTCAGATTTTTAAGAAAATTTAAGGCTGAACATGAATCGAAAGAAACTCTCCCAGTCTTTTAAGGGCCCTATCTGCATCTAGCATTTGCTCCACTGTTTTACCAAACCCACGCTGGAACAGAAAAAGGTACGGCTGAAAATGACATTCAGATACCCTGGGCCAACGCTGTACTGACTGCAGTCACCCTAAAATGGCAATAAATCTATGCAGATGGCTAGCATAAAACCAAAAGAGACAAAGCGGCATGCAGTCTGGACACTGCCATAAAATCCGACAAGGTGAAAGTGGCATGCAATGTAGAGTGGAATTTCCGTTCCAGTGTCAGGGTTGCCAGATCTGGGTTGGAAAATACCTGTAGACTTTGGGGGTGGATCCAGGAGAGGGCGGGATTTGGGGAGGGGAGGTGCCTCAGCATGGTAAAATGCCATAGGGTCCACCCTTCAAAGCTGCCATTTTCTCCAGGGGAGCTGATCTCTGATAGCTGGAGATCAGTTGCAAAAGTGGGAGATCCCCAGGCCCCAGCTGGAGGCTGGCATCCCTATCTACCGTGGGTTGGGTAAAACAGCGGAGCAAATGCTAGATGTAGATTGGGCTAAACACTAGTTTCTCGTTGATTATTTATTTGAGTTTTCAAACAATTACCAGTTGATTTCACAATGCAGAAAAGGATTTGATGCAAGTGAAAATTACGCACTGGCCTGTCTGTATTCTGTAGAGTGTCTCCTACTTCCTCATCTATCCTATCCCCTACCTTACTTTCATACATGAGGTTTCACATTTGCATTGGGGCTTCCATGTGTAGAGCCTGTTATAGATAAGCCCAGTCTGCCTCCAGCATAGATAACTTTAGAAAGAGAAAATTAGAAATGGGAAACACTGCAGTATGACTTTTTCCATTTTTGAGCAGTCACTTAAGAACTAGTTTCTATTTGTACTGTAGCTGCTACTTATGATTCAGAATTGCTTTCTAAATGATCTTCATTCTCTGAGGTTATGGCCTAGATTAATATTGTCAGGGATAAATCAAAGGCTATTTGCATCATTGTAACCCCATATGAATGATCATCATTTCACTGAAAAATAAATTATTGTAGTACATAATCACAAATTATAATTAGTGAAACCATCTAGTCCACACATTGGCCAACTAGTTCCTCTGGACAGCCAACAACAGGGCATAGAGGCCGAGGCCTTCCCCTGATGTTGCTTCTGGTTCTGGGATTCAGAGGCTTAGTGCCTCTGAATGTGGAGGTTCCCCTCAGTCACCATAGCTCCATTGAAGGAAAGGCAATTTAAACAAGCCTCTCTGTCCCTTCTCCAGTTGGCCCGCAGCTGCAGGCCAGCTGTAGAACAGAGAACAGTTTGTTTAAATGCCTCCCTGTTCATTCCCTGTTGTGAGGTGCCGCTGGCTCCCGCCCGGGGTCTGCACCCTCCGCCGTGTCTTCCCTTGTCCGGAAGACAGTTCCCGTGGACCGTGGGGAGATGCTGAGGCTACTGCGGGAGGAGGAGGGGAAAAGGATCCGTCGCGGATAACGGAGCGTGCCTCAGACACAGACCCTGAGGGGAGTTCCGTCACTCCTCTCTTCTTTTGGGTCTGTCTGGAACTGCCGTCTTTCGCCTGTGCTAACTGACTTTCTCTCTGCGTTGCTCAGTAGCTTTGCCAGGCTTGCAGCCAGTCCAGCGAGTCCTCCTTGGCTTGCTCCGGCCGCTCCTTTATTCCCCTCGGCTCTCCCACAAGCCCCAGCAACTGGGCTCCGCCCCCGCCCAAAGGCACAGACGCCGACCCGCCCCTCCAGTCCCCACCCTCTCCCGTCTGGGTGCTGCCGGCCGAGGCGACGTTCTCCTGCTCCGTCGTCTGCCGGGTCGGTGGATGGGCACGAGGTCGGGTCCTGGCGCGCCTTCCCCGCCCGGTCCCGGCCCTGCCGAGCTAGCTGCCACACTCTCTCCACTCACGGGGTGCCCTGCTGCCGGGTGAAGTTCGCCGCCCTCCCCGGGACGGCGAGGGCCCTCTGAACCAGGTAGGTAGCCCGGGGGCGTCGCTCCCGGCGCCCCCGGGGGTGCGGCAGGGCAGTCCCGGCCGATCCCGGGACACCTGTTCATTCCGTGTTCATTCCCATGGCAAGCCAGCTGGGAAAGGAAGCAAATGGGGGGGCTTTAAACATGCCTCCCGTCCCTTCCTCAGCCCACCCACAACGGCGAGCTGGCTCGGGAAGATAGGAAAGATCAGCCCCCTGTTGGCCATTTAAACCTAACAGCTTATAGGCGGAGCGCCTGTCATCTGTTAGGTTTAAATTGCCAGCAGCTTCGGTAAGGTGGATGCACCTGAATAAAAGCCGAATAAGATCGTTTTTTATTCGGGATGACCTTATCACTCTCCTGAATCATATTACAGAATCTGATCTGGCTGAATAAATACTCAAAAAATACAGAGAAAGTATTTGTTGGGTATTTATTCAGTTTGGTTTAGCCGAGTGCACACCCCTACTCTTCTGCCTTTCCTCATAGGGAAGGTGCTCCAACTCCCTAATCATCTTGGTTGCCCTCCTCTGTGCTTTTTTCAACTCTGCAATGTCCTTTTTGAGATATGGTGACAAAACTGAACATTGTATTCCAAATGAGTCTGCACCATAAATCTATACAGGGGCATTACAGTAGCAGGCATTTTATTCTCAATCCCATTCCTAATAATCCCTAACATAGACTTTGCTGTTTTCACTGCTGCAGCACACTGGGTTGACATATTCATTGAGCTATCCACTACAGCCCCAAGATCTCCCCCCCCAGTCTCAACAAGTCCAGACCCCATTAGCCTATACTTGAAGTTGGGATTTTTTTTGTTCCAATGAATATCACCTTACACTTACATCACCTTACGTTTGCCTTATTGTCACCCACTCACCCAGTTTGTGGAGATCGTCTTGGAGTTCTTCACAGTCAGCCTTAGTTTTCACCATCCTGAATAATTTTGTGTCATCTGCAAGCATGGCCCCTACACTGCTCACCCCCAGTTCCAGATCACTGATGAATAAGTTAAATAGTACCAGCCTCAACACTGATCCTTGTGGGACCCCACTGCTTACTTCTTTCCCTTGTGAGAACTGTCAATTGATTCCTACTCTTTGCTTTCTGTCATTTAACCAGTTTTTAATCCATTAGGGAACCTGTCCACTTGTCCCATAACTGCTAAATTTACTCAGGTACCTTGTCAAAAGCCTTTTGAAAGTCCAGGCATATAATGTCTACCAGGCCATTGTTATCTACATGCTTGTTCGCTTTCTCAAAGAACGTCAAAAGGTTGGTGAGGCAGAAGCCATGCTGGTTTTAAATAGGTTCCAAGCATCCTCTAGGGATTTGACACTCTTGTGTTTCCTCTTCACCTTCCTTTTTACTATTCCCCTCATTTTAGTAAAGTTCTCTTTTTATATGTGTGACGTGAGTGGGGACATGAACAGAGAATGGTTGAAATGTTGACATAATTACCACATTGTAGGTGTCATGAAGCATTATACTGAAGCTTTTTCCATTACTTCCAAGAGATAGCCTTAACATATGAACGAATTCATTTGTTTTTGGTTTTGGTGTTTTTCATAGAGCTGTGGCTGCTTCCACATAAATGTTCATGTCTAAACTGGAGTAGTTTTTTTGTTTGAGTACCCAGCTTCATATTGTGCTCTAATCATCCATTTTCTGTATTTTCTCCCACTTTGCTGTAATCTTTCCCAACACTGGTCTGGTATGATTTTCTGAGGGAACCTTGTAGCCAAAGCACCTTTGCACACTATGTGGATGGGAAGATGTGCATTTTTGCATGTCCCATCCACATCAGTGCAGGGGGTTTTTTGCTCCAGAAATATGTGGCTGCCCCTCCCACAGGGAGGTCTTTATATAAAAAATTGACTTTGCTCGAGCTTGCTATAGTGATATGTTGATTACTGATTTTTTTATAGGTGGCTGGGAAAATGAGGAAAAACTGGATGTTCTGTTGGTGCTGTGAACGCAGAGGCATTCGTAGCCATAACAGACATATAGAGAAATTTGTCACTATGTAGCCTGTGTTTTGGTATGTCAATAACTGTCTTTCGATGACACATCTATGATATTTATGGCAAAGGTAGCACATGTATGTATCTCTTGATTGTTTATAGGTAAACCTTCAGTCAAAGTGAGCACACATAACCTCACTGTTATTGAAGGAAGAAGTGTCACGTTGTATTGTGATGCTACAGGAACTCCACCACCAGTTATATCTTGGATTTTCAATAACCTTATTTCAAAACATGAGGTAAGAATTTTATCTTAAAATATTGGAATCTGTAAATACACTATAACTTTTTAAAGAGGCATGATAATAATTTTTCTGGTTGTCTTTATTTCTGCTCTAGTCCGGATAATATTTTTCCTTAAGTATTGTCTTGATTATACGTTTATAGAGGCCAGCATATCTTCAGAACCACCTCTCCCCATATGAGCCCCGAAGGAACTTATGATCTATTAATTAACACCTCCTGGCATTTTGCAGCCCCAGGGATGTCCAACTTGCCTCAACAAGGGCCAGGGCTTGTTTGGCCCTGGCCCCTTCCTAGTGGAATGAGCTCACATTAGAAATCAGGGCCCTGCGGGACCTATTACAGTTCTGCAGAGCCAGCTATTGGCCTCCCCTCCAGTGACCTCAGAGCTGAATGGCCACCTGGGAACAAACTGCTTCCTGTTGAAATCTGTTGACACACCGGTCTTTTACCAAATATTGTTTTTGGATACATTTTTTAGATATATTTTAACTGTTGATTTATTGTATTGTAAATTTTATGATAGAACCCACCCTGAGCCCACTTGTGAGGAGGGTGGGATACAAATCAAATAAATAAATAAATAACATTGGTGTGGAATAGTGATCCAGTTACATGTCTGCATCTTACATGATCTTTTTCTTACACTGAGAAAGAATCAACCATGAATTGCAGTGTGTGTGTATTTTCCTGTAGCTTGATTTAGTGGTGGGTGGGAAGATACAGCTCATGTATGGCTGGTTCAGGATCTCCTTTCATTATAAACTCTGCAAGTGGATCAAAGACCCTTTTGGTCTTCTCACTGTAACTGTCTCCTGGATGAACAGCTTATGATGATGCCAGCAAGGAAATAAAGTCCCAAGGAGACAATTGGCAATCACAAGGCTGACTGAGGCCAGTGGTGTGACAGGGCCTCCTTTAAACCTGGCTGGGTAGACCAGAAGGAAGACTCTTTCCATGCAGTCCACTGGCATAATTCCTAGCCAGGGGGGAGGCCCATGCAGGCACAGACTGTTACCCACCATGCTGCCAGCCCCAGCAAGGGCTGAAACCACATTGCCTTCCTCCTCACCTCCCTGCAGGCCTGCAAATGTGGCCCATGTAAGTCTGAGCCCCAGGCCTCTCCGCAGCTTAGGCCCACTTCCGTGTTTCTCTGCTACCAGAAGCTTCCCATTATGTCCTGCCAGGCACAATAATCTCTCTTCCTTTTGGCAGAAAATGCACTTTAGAAAATCATTTAAATAACTCTAGCTCTTTTTTCGTGATTCTGTCCTTCACTATCCTTCTCTATAAACCTTTTCATAAACTTCTGTTTACTAAAGGAAATGTTTATACAGATGTTAGCAAGCTTTTAATGGTTGTTGTTTCACCTCTTGGTTTTAGAGGTCATCAGTACAAATACAGAAGAGTTCATGACTTCTGTTTAATAAGTGAGATACCTTTCTTTGTCACTAGTACCAGTAACAAGCTGGGTGCAGGCATCACTAAGACCAGTGTGGCAAGACCAGTGTGGTTAGAGTGTTCAGCTAGCATCTGGGAGACCCAGGTTAGAATCACAGCTCTGCCATAGAAGCTTTCTGAGTGACTTTGGGCTAGTCATACTGAAATATACCGGGTTCGAGACGTGTGTAGTGATCAGCTCATAGTTTATTAGTCATTTCAGCTTATCTCTAAGACAACTCTAGCAGGGCTGGAGCCCGGTTTATATGCATGCAAAACACCCCACCCCACACACACACACTCCCCATGATAGGCTATTTACATTACAACTCCTATTCAATAGGTCCATTCCAGGATCCTGGCTATCTATTGTTCTGGTGCACAAGCTTAGTCAGTTTCCAGGTACAGTTCAGGCTCAGTACATAACAGATACTCTCTCAGCCTAACTTACTTACTCACAGAGTTGTTGTGAGGATAAAATGGAGGAGAGAAGAGCCACTTTGGATCTACATTGTGGAGAAAGGCAGAATATAAATGAAGTAAATAAATAAAAAATAAACAAAAATTAAAATCTTCATTCCTACTTCCATCAGCTGCTGTGTTTCCTACCTCAGTGTTTCAAAGAATAATGTACCTCCTTATTCTGTTAATTTTTCAGCCCCAAATTTAGCACAGAAATGAAGGGGCAAAGGAATAATAATAAGGTGAAGTGTAACACTCTGTAGGGGTGACTCTTAAAAACACCTCCTTGGCAGAAGACGGCAATCCTTCCCATGGAAGTCAAGGAATAAATGAATGCCAACAAAAAGGAAAAGGAAGACCTGAGGAGGGGGCACTCTAAAGAGAAAGGAAGCATGGAAGGGAATGTAGATTTTTAATAACACGTTTGCTTTTATTGTTTTGAACCTTGTATTTAAAAATAATTTCCAATAATCTCATTAGCTGACCATTTTTAAGAGAGGTGTATATATGTGTGAAATTATTTCCCTGTCTTAGAGCTAATTTCTTCTCCTGTGCTTTACCATTCTACAGGCCAAATTTTAAACTACTTTAGGTCTTATAAGAATACCCAACTAAAATATTTTGGTCCCTCTTAGGTTCCAGGGTCATACATTCTCCTATCAGATAGTATGTGAACATATACTAGAAGTTCAGAGTGTCCATGATCTGAGGGAGGTAATATATCTCGGTGCACAGACTATACAGTGCCTCCAGTAAAAGGAAGGTCATAGTTGATCTGCAAATAAGATCTCCATCTCTCTTTGTTCCTGGCTTGTTTCCCAGAAAGCAAGTTTATCCAGTGAAAAGGAGAACACATACCCAGAGACCAAAATATAGCTCTTCAAACTGACAGGCACTTTATTAATATTAAGTAAAATAATTATGTACATTTAAGTTGAAATTGCCAGCCACTAATTACATAGGGAGGCCTTGGAGGTAAGACTGAACAGGACCTGGGAATGATTACTTGTGATTGCTCTCAAAGGGGCTATTTCTGTTGCAACCTTAGCATGGCCAGGTGATGACAGAATGTGTCCCTGCATTGGGTTCTATTGGACCTGGTGAGAAACTATTGTTTGTATGTGTTTTCCATGGTCCTGGATGACAGGACTGACTTGGCATGCATTAATGAGACCTGGTTAGGTAAGCTTGGGGGAGTAGATCTGTCGCACTTGGAGCCTGCAGGATTCTCAGTGCACCTTCAGCTAAAGCTTGGTTTTTGGGGAGGTGAGGTCACAGTATTCTGTTGGCATACTGTCACCACCAACAACAGAACTTCAATTTTGAGTGTATGTACTTGTTGCTGGGTGACTTTAACAGCTGAGGTATTTCTAGAGTACTGCTCACCCTGGTCCCCAGAAATCTTGCCTAAGCTCCTTGAGCTGGTCTCAGGGCTGATGGTGAGGTCTTTGGGGCTATTAATCCTCCAGCATTTCAACATTAATGCAAGCAGCTCCTTAATAGATACAGTTCTGGGCTTCATGGTAGCCATGGGACTCTCTCAGTCCATTTGACCTGCCTATGTGGTATCTTGTGCACTGGAATCTGGTTTTTCAGTTAGTGCAGTGGTACAGTTGTTTCACTTTCATGGATCATCTGTCATCTGGTGATGTTCAGGCTGATTGTAGCTTGTAATGTCCACAGATGTGGGGAACCTATTAAGAAGGTCCACCAGAGGCATTTGATGTCTGTTTAATGTCTACATGAAGCTTGTGGGAGAGGTCATCTGAGGATTAGGAATATGGTGCCATTAGCATGTGTAACTCTCTTATGAATCATGTGAGGCATGAGATGTCATAGATTTGTGTTTGTGGATGGTAGTGGGCTGGATCAGGACTAATAAATTGAAGCTGAGTCCAGACAAGGAGGTGCTATTCTTGATGGAGAAAGTGGTGGAGGGATAAAGAGATGGTCTTTTCTGCATGGAGGTTGCACTCCCTCTAAAGAGTACATTTGGATCCTATGTTACATATGGATCTTCTCAGTGGCACATAGTGCCTTTGGTGTGTCAGCTGCAATTTCCCCCCAGCTGGTATGACTTAGTTACAATTATCTGTGCTCTAGTCATATTTATTACAATGTATTCTTCATGGGGACAACCTTTGAAAAGGGTTTAGAAGCTTCAGAAGGTACAAAATACTGCCTGAAAGATTACTATCAAGGGCTTGCCATAGAAACAAAATAGTAAAAAATTGTTAAAAGATCTTCATTGGTTTCCTAGTTACTCCTGGACCCAATGCAATAATTTGCTTATGGCCTTTAAAACAGCAACTTCGAGGACTGCCTTCTTCCATATGTTCCTGTTCAGCAATTAACATTTGCTGACAGGCCCTTCTCCATGTACCCCCAATTTCAGAAATCACCTTCTGTGTAGTGGCAGCCTAGTTACAGAATTCCCTTCCATCGTGGTGCCTAGCCTAACTTTGCTAGTTTTTGGAAGAAAGTTAACATTTTCACCAAGGTGTTTAAATTCTAACTAATAGTTTTTTGGCGGTGGGTGGGACTATTGTAGGTTTAAATTTAAATATCCTTTACAGTTGTGTTCAGTCAAAGATTTCACAGGAATTGGTGAGACAGATCTTTCCATACTTTCCTCTTTTCAAGAAGCATAAAATTTGTCCCACAGCTAGAGAACCCAGGTCTCCTGCTTCAGCTAGATGCCTTCCATCCCCACTCACTCTCCATGCTGCTGCTCAGATGGCTGGCAGGAGAAAAAGTCCCAGGAGAATGGGGTGGGGAACTGGGGATAGTTGTTGGTGCCATGATGTCACTTCTGGCATGACCCAGAAATGACATCATCATGTTGGCTGACACTCTTGCATTCAGCCAAAACTTTATGGTTAAACCATAGAGTTCTGGGTGAATACTGAAGCTTCATCCCCCTACACAATAACATTACTTCCAGTTTGTGCTGGAAGTGATAGTGTCAGTGACACCCCGCCATAAGCTCCTGCCAGTTGCTAGCCTTAGACTGCCAACCCTCCCCACAACTCTTCTCTGAGAACTGGGAGAACTTTGCATGCAAATTGGACCTCATGAGGGAACACTGCAGCCATGATGGGGAATAGGAGTGTGCAAATATATATATATATATAATTCGGCCCATTCGGATTCGGCCGAATCGGGCAGAATCAATTTCTGCTGGCAGTAAGACTCCTGCAAGTCAGTTTCGTCAGAAGGATTGGGGAGTTTTTCCGCCAGCCGAATGTCAATTTCAGTCCCATTATATCCTATGGGCCATTGAATTCAATGGAGAAAACATAGGGTATATTCTGGGGGCTGGAGGAGAGGGGCCTTGAGGGAGAGACTCCAAACTCGCAGGGTAGCTTACTTTTCCCCCACCATAGAGAACAATGGAGGAGATAGGGGCAACCTGTTTGGGGGGGCCCTTGTCCAATGTTCTTCAATCATGGTTGGTATCTTGGGGAGAGGCTCCAACAGCTACCCTGCGAGTTCGGAGTTTCTCCCTCAAGCCCCCTCCCCTCCATCCCCCAGAATATACCCTATGTTTTTGCTATTGACTTCAATGGCCCATAGGATATAATGGGGCTGAATTGCTGCTGAAATTCGACGGCAATTCAACGGCAAGCCGATTCAGATCAGAGATCTGAATCGGCCTGCAGCAGCCTGAAAGGGGTCCGAATGGGCCATTTTCGGGGGTGCATTCGGTTCGGATGAACTGAATGCACATTCCTAATGGGGAACCAAGAAAAATGGACTCTTTCTCCTGCTTGTGGCTTATATCAGCAGAGGAGGGGGGAAAGAGGTGATTTTTCCTGATTTCTCCCTCGCAGATATAGTGCCCCATCCAGTGGCTCATTTTACTTATGAGTTTTTTCCAGTCCTCAGAGAACATTTTGGGACAAATGGCAGGTTGCTTAGGCAAGGAGAAAGAATGGAATGATCCACTATGCCCGCTGCTTCTATTAACTCTTCTGCTGGATCTAACCCTTAGATTCTTGGTTGTGCCCCCCATTTAATGACTGTGAACTACTCTTTGTGCCCAGAAGGTTTGCGTGGACTCAACAAAAGGATTCCTAACCCATTTCTTTCTTGTTGTTCTTGTTTCTAGAGTGATACAAATAAGAACCCAGCTTCTCTTACCATAAAGAATGTCTCATCCAATGACAGTGGAACACTGATTACTTGTGTAGCAGAAAACAGTGTGGGCGAAGACCAAGTTTCTGTTGATCTTACAGTGTTCTGTATGTAAATAGTCTTGTGTACAATTTTAGCTAATAATGATAGCCAAATGATATCCATAGGGAACAGTAATAGACTTCCTACTGATCCTTCCCCAAAGGGGCACATTATTTATATAGTGCATATTTGCATGGATTGAATTGAAGAGAGAAAAAACTCACCCCCCCCTTTTCTTAGTTGCATCTAATAGTTAAAGCTATCACTGCACCCACTTATTCTCAAAGATCTTCCCTGGAAGTTTTAAAGGGTTTCCTGTGTTCAATGTACATGTGAGATCACTAAGAAAGAGATTTGAAATCAGTGCCATCACCCCACTATTGGCTTTTATTAAAAGTGTATCTTTCTGATCTAGTTTAGTTCCCTAGTTTATGGTGAACAATTAGGTTTCTTCTTCTGGAAGATCAAGGGAAGAGTGTTCCATATACAATATATTTCTGGATTCATGCACAAGTAACATTTAAGAAAGAATATTGTTGCATATTACTGTACAAGTTCAGTGTTTTCTGATTATGTCAACTTCCATTTTAAACAATAAGAAATTTGCTGAAATAACATTCATGGTGCAGTAGATTCAAAAGAGAAACTCTTAGGTAAATGCCAGATGTATTCTAAGTTTACACAGAATAAACATAGTCATGAAGATGATAGGAAGGACTTAGTATTAAATGATATAAGCAAATTAACAAGGAAGTAGAGAAAAGGAAAGAATAAACCATAGCATAAATTATCTTTTTGTTCTAGAGAATTCCTTTATTAATTAGATATATGAAGTATGAGACAAGTTTATCATCAGTTCCTTAATCTCACATCTTAAAACATGCTGATTGATTTGCATAGATAAGAATACAAGGGATACTTACGTTATTTTTACTGTTTTAATATAGTTCCGCCAAATATCACATTTCTTGAATTGCCATATCCGGACCACCATTGGTGTATTCCATTCAGTGTGAGAGGGAACCCACAACCTACTCTAACATGGTTGCATGATGGGGTAAAACTGAATGAATCGGACTATATCTGGACTAAAATACATGTTATAAATCAGACTGAATACCATGGCTGCCTTCAGTTGGATAACCCTACTCATGTGAACAATGGAGATTATACCTTAGTGGCACAGAATCAATATGGAAAAGATGAAGCAAGCATTTCTGCATACTTTATGGAAGATCCTGGAGGTAGTAAGTATAATTTTTCTATAATATCAATGAGGTATTAATTACTTGTAGCTTTTATTTCTTTTTAGTTTGTTTTATGATGTCACTTAATTTAAGATGAGGGTTTTTTTGGGGGGGGGGATTCATCCTTTTTGTGGAACTCCACAACATTTTAGGATATAAAGTTGCACCTTTTAAATACTAAAAAGCAAGGACATGCAAATTTGATAAAATCATTCAGAGCAGAACGTGGTTAACAGGCTGCATTTGGCCAATGTAATTAAACCAGTGACTAGACATTCATCATGATAGAAATATCTTTTTCCTATTACTACTTCATATTGCAATGAAAAATTAAAGGTTTAATTCTGCATGTTTCATATAGCATTTCCTGTTTCATACAGCATTTCCTTGTTTAACTTTTGCTCCATAGTTAGCAGAGGGTTGGGGGTGGTAGGTTGGTTGACAGATTTTTTTTTTTTACTGGAATCTGAGGTACCAGATACTAATTACACAGATTCAGTCTGCAGCTTACTGTTTCTGGGTTGCAGATAATACAAAGTATTGTCCTGTACTGAAACATACTGTTATTTCTTTTCTTAACTTCTAGCCTAAGGCTGTGGAAAGGAGAGGGACAGGTGGGTTGTTGCACAGCAGGTACATACCAGCCCCCCTCCTTCCTATCTATGTATTATGGTTAAGAGCAGTGGACTCTAATCTGGAGAACCAGGCTTGATTCCCCACTCCTCCTCCACATGACACCTGCTGGGTGACCTTGGGCCATCCACAGTTCTCTCAGGACTCTTTCAGCCCCACCTACCTCAAAAGGTGCCTGTTGTGGGGAGAGGAAGGGAAGGCAATTGTAAGCCACTTTGAAACTCCTTGAGGTAGAGAAAAGTGAGGTATAAAAACTACCTGCTCCTCCTCTCATTCTTCAAGATGGACAAGGCTCCAGTGAGAGTGTTGTTCGTTCTGTCCCTGTAGGTTTCTCTAAGTATGGAGCTGCACAGTGGGAGGATGAATTGTGTCCTAAGTTTCTAATAAACAGATCACATGAGTGTCGCCTAAATTCCTCAGTATGTAGGAACTGCACTTAGCTATCCCATACTCAGATATTTTCAATTTATGGCTGCAGTCACACACTAAATAATTGAAAGTGGATTATTTAGTATGTATGACAGCACAGTTTATTTGATATGTGTGATTTTAGTATTTAAAAGCTGCAGTATTTCTTAATGGCAATTGTTTCATAATTTCATTCAGTTTTTAAAACAATTAAAATCATAACAAAAATTTAAACCATAAGAAGCTCTGATGTGTAGGTATATATTTTTTATTTTGCAGTGAACAAGACAACATACATTTTACTATATTTTACTTCAGGTTGCCAACTTCCAGGAGTTTTCCTGGATTTATAACTAATCTTCACACTATAGAGATGAGTTTCATGGAGGAAATGGCAGCTTTCTATGGCATCCCCCCCCCCCCACTGAACACCCTCCATCCAGCAATTTCCCAAGTCAAACTTGGCAACCCTGTGATATTTCTTGGGGCATCCTCTAGAACTCCTCCTAGCTCTTTTGTCAGTAACTCCTCCTAGCTCTTAATGGTTGGATTATACTTTCCCTTCATTCCTCATAACTTGCCAAATGGTTCAAGAAGTCTGCTGATGAAATGAAAGAACATAACCACCTTTCCACCTAGCTTTGCTGAAGAAACTAGCAAACTAGTTAGGTATATATTCCCCAGAGAAGGCTACATCCTTTGGAAAAAGTTTGAAATGGGAAGGGGAGATTGCTACAGGTTGAGAGTGGATAAAATAAGAACAATATTTGCAGAATGCCTTGATCTGATCTGGGGCCTGTAGTGAGTGCTGGAGACTGTGGGGAAGAACCTCACATCCTCAGTGTCAGAATGCCAGAAGATAACTTTGCATATCTGTTCTAGTAATCCAGTCTAGAGACTAAACAGTACTTTTAGTTTCTTCTTTGTGTTAGTGAGCAACATCCTCCTATTAGCTCACATTACCTTTTTTCTAATGAAATTTCCTTCACTATAGTACAAATGGGCTTAAAGTGTTGCTAGCTGAGCAGTAGGGAACTGTGAGGGGCTGGACAACTTTTGGAGATTCCCATGCTCTGCATAGATAGCGCTCCATTTCTGATGGGTTTCAAGCACCAAATAAGGTTCTGAGCTTGGGGCAGGCATTGTTTGGATTATTTAGGGATGCCAGGTCCCCTCACCATTGTAGGGGGGGATTTGGGGGCACTTGAGGGGTGAGCGCCCAACATGATGATGTCACCCAGAAGTGATGTCATCGCATCAGCGATGTTGTGTGCAACACTCTGGTTTTTGGGTAAAGTTCTACCTTTTTTTGCCTTCAAAACCATAGAGTTTGCCCCCAAACCAGAGTATTGTGTGACAACATCCCTGTTTGGGGGTGGGGCAGCTGGCGAGTGGCAGATCAAAGCTCCAAAAAGTGGGGAAACCCCTGCTGGAGGCTGGTAACCCTAGGATTATCCAGTGAAGGCCAAGCTGTTAAAGGCCAGAAAAAAAGCTTTGCCACCATGGAGCATCTGGGGTCAATTACCTGATACCCAGAGGAGGCAAATAGAAGCCTGCTTGTGTTAATCCAGGTTGCCTTGGGGTAACTAGGTATCATGTGACAAAACCCAAAGTTTCTTGTTTAAAATTGTACATATGTGGTGTACAGTTGTCAACAGATCTTTAGAATCAAGACTATTGAAGAGCTTACAACTGATTCTGCAATTAAATACAGTTGTCTACTTTTAGGATAGAACAAAAGTTAAACGAAAAGTTTTAACAAATGTAGCTCTGACCTGGATAGCCCAGGCAAGCCTGATCTCATCAGATCTTGGAAGCTAAACAGTGTCAGCCCTGGTTAATTTTTGGATGGGAGACCACCAAGGAAGTCCAGGACTGCCGCACAGAGGCAGGCAGGCAATGGCGAACCACATCTGAATGTCTCTCTCCTTGAAAACCCTATGGGGTCTCCATGGCTGCGACTTGATGGCACTTTCCACCACCATTACAATAAATGTATTATCAGTTCTTAAATATAATGAGGAATCATCATCATAGTATGAGCTCTCTAACATCAACAGTGTATAAATTCACCTTAAAAGCAGTAACACTAATTGTGTGTGTTCTGTCTCTTTGACACACTTTAGTGCCACTTACTATCAAGGCAGAGAACCCAGGTAGGAGTATTTAGCTAAAGAAACTGTGCTCTGGGGCAGATGGGCGTGAACATGGTTATTTGGTCAGTCTCCTTGAGCTTATGGCTCAGAAGAAACAGGCTATACAATCTGCAATGCAGTTCCCCCTCCTAAAGAAACTAGAGTTATTGAAGGGCAGGTTTAGCTCCCACGCCAGTGGTGTTCCCAAGTGAAAGTATCTAATATGGTTTCCCACAAAGAATCCATGTAATATATACATTATATAGAATTAAGTACACTGTATTGTGTGAAATCTTGTTTGGGGCTAAAATTGAAAGAGTTGAGACTTCCAAGTCCAAAGACTTGAAATGGCCCTTCTATAATGAAAATGTTGATGATATGTTAGGGTTCAGCTGAATGGCAAGGGATGTGTGGGACAGGGCAGGTAAATTGGCTTTATGTCCTCGTCCAGCACCCTGCAGTCCCTTAATCCAGTCTCTAAGCAATTTAATAGCCATTTTGTCTCTATGTGTGCTATTGAATGCTTAGTTAAGTTAGTGGTCTGAAAGAAGGAGATAAAAGCCAAGAAATGGCAGCAAGCTTTTTAGTGTAGGTTTCTGAAGGAATGGAGATGAGGCAAAGTGGGTGGGTGTGCTCTGCCCTTGGAGTTTTTCTCTTTCTCAAGCTATATATTCCGTGACTTACAGAGTATCTATATATCTAATCCTGAAGTTGCCCCCTGGTGTGCGGATACCTAAATCCGTGCACCGGGGGCAGATGGGGGGGAGAGAGAGTTTTGTGCACACGTGGGGCGGGCCCCAGGTGTGCACAAAAATCTGAAAACTTTAAAAAACTATCGGGGGATATTTAAATCCCCCCAAAACTAAAAGAGCATTCCCTGCGCATGCTCAGGGAATGCTCTGCGACCTACCTGGCTTCAGTGCGGGGCGAGGGGAGCGAGCAACCGGTGAGGCGCGGCGGCGGAGGGAGACCGGCGAGGCCCGGTGGCTGCACGCCGCGGGCCTCGCTTTGAATCAGGGGTGGGGGTGGAGAGAGACCAG